TGAATATGTTACACAGCGCAACCATTTGCTTAATCACATAAAATAACAGTAATAAGTAGTACAAGATCATTTGTAATGAGCCTTTCGATCTTGGGTGAGACATCCTTACCTCTTAGGGTCTCAACTTCATCCGGAAATGAAAGACTCATCTATTCTAGAAGACAAATCCTGGCAGGGAATGGGCATCCTCTGTCCACAAGCGTGCTCAGACCTCTGTTTTTGACTTTTTCACAAAAGGGACAAATCTTTAGAATTTAGACTTCCTTTCAGGAGGAGTTTGGGTTTTGCTCTGTATTATCTATTTTTAGGCTCTAAAATCAAGCACAATACTTCTCAGTTTTTCAAAATGTTCTTTCTCCATTGAACCTGGAGACATTTTAAATACACTTTAGTGCTTGTAAAAAAATTGCGATTCCTCTAATTTAATCCTGGAAATATTAATGGTTTCTTAGGTGCATTTCTCAAAAAGTCAACATTATTATATTAGTATTAAGTCAATATTAGATTCTCAGAGATTTGTCTGAATCTCAATCTCTCTCCCTCCCTCCTGCTCACTCTCTCTCTTTCTCTCTCTCTCTCTTTCTCATCTCTTGTTTCAGTTTGCAGCTAAAGAGAAATATTCAAAGCATTCTTATTCAAAGCATACTTATTCTGTTGTTCAACTGAATATTATAATATTCCTCAAAATAAAAATGTAAAAATTTCTTATTTATCTTTCTTAAAATTATTTTCCTGTACATCCATATAATATAGTATTATATAACCATTTTTCAAAGAAGTGGATCTTTGTTTCATAACATGTACATGTGTCTACATTATATGATGAAGGAAAAATGTTAGAGTTAGTGCCCATGTAGTAAAAATTGATTTTGTTCATACACACATGTTTATATAAAAGTCTATAAAAATATATAACATGCATGTTTTGGTTGTCTGGATAGTTAGGATTCCAACTGATTTTTATTTTCTTCATTATCTCTTTAAATTATTTTCTTCAATTATCAGATATTGATTCTGTAACTGAAAAAGTGCATTGGAATTAGTCTTAAATTGGGCATGAGGGTATATACCTATAGTTAATCCCAGTGATTAGGGAGGCTGAGACAGAAGGATTGCTGTGACTTGGAGGCCAGCCTGGGCTAAATAATGAGTTCAAGGCCTGCGTGATCTGCATCGTGAGATCCTGTCTCAAAAAACAAACAAAAGCACTGGAAAAAAAAGAAAAAGAAAATTAGTCTTAATGATGGAATTAAGTATGGCAGTAACAGTAGTGGTAAAACAGATTGCTATGCTGAAAGCCTCGTAACATTCTTTCGTTTTCGTTATGTGACAATTTGTAAAATTCACTTTTGTCCAAAGTCCACTGATTCTTTGACAACTGCTCCCTGATGAGTGTGACTCCTCCAGCAGGAATCCAGCTCTGGTAATGTTTCCATTCTTCTCATTCAGAGCAGGGAAACTTCAGAATAGATTTTGGCTCCGTGTCCAAGTGGACGCCCTGCCTGCCTTCCTTCCTCTCTCTCCGTAATGTCTGTGTTCCAGTCATACCCAGTCATAACCACTGCCACGGCAGGCCTCTTTCTAAACACATGGGAAAATATAAAACTCTTGACAGGCTTCCACTTCCGCTTTCTCCTTTCTTTCATTCAACTTACATGTTCTCACTCAACTCAACCTTTACAAATGTTTCTTTATAAAAAATTAATGTCATGCTACCTGATGCTAAAATATCTATAGTAACTCTCTCTACCATGAAGAAATAAACCTATACTCCTTAGCCTAAAATTTAAAGTTGCCCATAATCTCAACTCACCTTTTCGACAGTTTTCTTTCTCAACGAAGCTTCTGGTCCACCAGAACAGCATGAACACTGGCTTGGTCCTGAACCGAATACTCCCAAGTGTTAGCTCTGCCGGGAATGACTTACCTTGTGGTTTCCACCAGGCTGACTTCTATGATATAAAACCAAATTCAGATTCCACACTTCAAGTGTTCCTAGCTCTCTCTATTACAAAGACATCTGTCCTCCTTTTCTAAAGTCTTATTCTGCCTACCCACTGGAGCAATGCTTTACCCCACTCAGCTGTCTTGGCGTACATGAATGCTCTTTCCCCAGCTGAGTGGCACATGTCTTCAGAGCAAAGGCCGTGTTTTGTGCTGAGTATTTTAAAATCACCAAGAGCTGCATCTCTTCATAACCCCTTAAAAGTTGACACTCAATAAGTAATTTAATTAACTGAAACCTTAAGCGTCATGTTTTCTAAGCATTTTGGAAAACGTGCGAAAACCTAACACTCTATACTTGGTATCTTTTATGTATTCAGCTAAAGAATAACACAGAAGGCAAATCTTTGAGTTCACTATAACAGAAACCACAAAAACAAGTTTACCTATTTTTTCAGTCTGCCTATTTCTGAAAATGTCCTTTTCTCATTGAATGTGTTTAGACACAGCATTTAAAAAGTTTGTCCAAAACTTGTAAGGCAATCACGGCTTGCCTCTGGCAGAAATAATGCGTCTTCCTGCTTCCCTTTGTCAATAATTGAATTTGCCTCTGAAGTTCAAGAAGTTCAAGATTTCTTTTCATGTGTGAAACTGACTGCTTCTGTTTCCTTTTTGTATGCAGCAGACTATCATATAAGACAGAAGAAATGCTGTGCCACTGGGATTTGGCGAGCAGGGAGGATAACAGGAAAGATTGACACGACTTCCATAGAACAGTTATTTTTAAGTAGAGAGAATGCTTATACCCACACTGAAAGGGGCCTTAGAAAATTTTACCAGGGTGGAAGAGCAGCGGGGGCGACACCCACTGCCTGAGAGCGATGCTGCGCGGGCTGCTGCTGCCCCCTGCTGCACACACGCCGTCACGAAGGGGCGGCCACCCCGGCCTCTCAGCTGGAGGAGACCAGACGCATCCAATTAGCATTCAGCGGGCACCTCTCCGGTCTAGGTGTATTCTCAAGGAAAATTAGTCAAATCTGATGTCTTCAGGCCACAAAAGTTTTTAGACATAAAAACCAGGAACCTGAAAAACAACTAGAGAGGGCGGATTTGCCCACGAGCTACTGAACACCTGCACCAATCTAAACCCCGTGAGAGGCAAGGATTCTATTAAAAGTGTGTCTGCAGCTCGTGAAAATAAATGATAACTTTCGCTTCTATGAGGTTTTAAAAGCATTGCTTCGCTTTTACGGAGTAGGAGATAGGAGACCTCCAAATGCTCCAAGGGCAGTGTTCTAAGAGAATTCAGTGAACTCGGATTTTCATTGGTTTTCTAGCTAGGTGAACTCTTACCACGACAAATGGATCGAAGTAACAAGAATCCCTTCTCCGGGGTTGTGAAATATCCTGATCCATTGGAAAGCACCGCCTTACAGATGAGGGTGTGCAGGGGACATCTCCTGTTTGTGCTGCTGTGCTTCAGCACTTTGACTTCCTGCAATTTTCAGAGGGAAAAGAAAGTGATGAGGGCATCCAGAGCAGTGATGTCATCCAAGGACGGAGCTCTCAAACCCTTCCTAGAAAAAAAATCACTCTCAGCACCACCTGCCCCAACTTCTCTAGTAAAATTTGTAGGAAGGTATATATAAGGTAAATATAAGCTTTGGGAGGACCTAGCCTAGGAAATAAGTAACTCCCTCTTCTGACTTTTGCAGGCAACAAACATCATTAACTGAGTAGCATTAGGGATGCTAATTGTCATAGCAACTCATTAAGGACGCTAATTGCCATGGCAGCAGAGGCATAGGTGGCAGTCTGGACATCTAGAAAGATGGTAGCCCTTGACTCATCCCACACAAATCGCTCTTCAGCTATATTCTAATCTCTGAATGGTGAGTGATGCCTTTTGTCTTAGCATCATCCATATGCCCCGTATGTTCTTGCATGGAGAGGTAAGTACATACACAATGACAAGCTGGCACAATTATTGCCGCTGGACCTCAGGAGAATTGTCACATCATGAATAATTCAACCCTCTCACTTGTGTCTGGTCTTGCTGGGTAGTGCTCATACTCCTGTAGGGAGATTGGTGTCACAGTGCAGTTCCTCAGTCTTCCTCATAGCTATGCATGTATTGTTATTCTTTTTCATTCAATGTTTACTGTAGACCTTAGGCCTAACACATATTTTCCTAATGTTGGGGAGTGAAGATGGCCTATGTTACCCCAAGATGGGAAAACCAGTAAGGAAAAGAATTTTCTTCACGTACTTTCATAAACAACCAGGCATTTTTAACAGGAGTCCCTTCTACGACACTCTATCATGGTCCCCTAACAGGAAGTAGCTGCGTGGGTGGAATAGGCTTGCTAGCTGAGGGAAGGGGGAGAGTCTCTGACCTTGGATTCATCAGCAAAAAGGCCCCCAGACATCCAGGTGGGAGACTTTCTCACTGGGCCTCCATCTTACCCCAGACGTGTGACAAGGAGCCCTTATTTCATGTGTCCCAGAAAATAGGGACTTTCCTGCAAGAGACAATAAAGTTCCTATAACTGAATTACTGCTCCCTGTTGATTTTCAGATTTTATCCAAGTTGAATGTGCTCCCACATTGCTCCTTCACATTGCAGAAATTCTGGAAGTAAAATATTTCTTAAGATTGAACAGAAAACTATTATGAAAGACACTAAGTTCACATTTCTTAAATAACGTTGTGCCTTCAGAAAAAGGTGTAAAAAGTACATTGCTGACTTCTCTGCATGCTTTCCTTTACTTGGATATTAGATACAGCTTATTTGACTGATGCAGGGTTCCTGAAGAAAAGAATCTTGGGGTTCAGAAAAGTCCTCTAAAGAAGGTAATGCACAAGATCTCAGAGAAGTTTCAGCAGTGTTCGGTTGAAGGTGACACTTAGCCCTGAACCACACTACCTTCCTGTGTATGTGCCACTTCCTGGAGACTCACCACACAGCACACAGACCCAGGCCTGTGGTAGGTCTGGGGTTTTAAGCACAAATAGGGTGGGTAGAGCTTGCTTGGTCATAAACAGACATCTACTGACTTTCATGCTCATTACGGAAATGGTCGTGTAAGCTCCTCAGGCAGCGATGGAGAAGAAATGGACATTTTGTGCTGTCTGCTCCATCATCCAGATACAGTTTGTCAGGGGTAAGACTTCCTGGTTTCCGTTCTTGTCAGATCACGTGCTTTCTAGGCTTCTGTTCATTTAACATGCGTCCTGATTCCTGCTGAAGGTGATCACTAAAGAGCAAATAGCTCTGAAGGTCTTCCGTTGTGTATTTAAATGCCAGCTATCAAAGAGATGCTAGAGTCTAAAAAGATTACTAATGAACATTAAAAACAAGAAAAGAATGTGTGACTTGTGCTGCTTCTCTGAAGTATTTTCACCTGTTACCTTCTTACATGGATGTCTGGACTACTTTGGAAACTGCTTCTTGGAAACAAAATGAAATGTTCTCCAAATGGCGGTCAGAACAACTCCAAAAAACTAAAAAGAATCATAAAGCCATTGTCCATGCTCGGAGCTCCTGGCTCAGCTTTTCCCCTCTCAAGCATGCTTTTGCTTTTGGTTGCAGCATGTATTTCTCCTCCAAGTACTAGTCTTCAGGGGGGTGGGCATTTGTTGAATGTTACTCAGCTATGTGTAGGTATGGCCGTGGGAGACAAAGGGGATTCTTTACCCAAGAGTGGGAATCAGAACATAATGAACTCATTTAAAAATGGGAAGAAAAGAGATTAGTTCTGCATTCCATAGTATGAGGTATTACAGTGAGTCTCAGTGCTTTAAGGATTAACTGTGCTTTTCAGGTACAGCTATGAAGATTTCAAGAATTGCTAAATCAAGGAGATTTGGAATATAATGCTATAGGCATATTATTAAAGAATAGCTCATAGGAAGTTACACTTAACTGTACTAACTGCTGTCTGCCAAAACTCCTTGCATCCACAAAAGTGTAATAGTTCCTGCTTGTCAAGTACCTTTGAAGGCCTTGCTTCTTTCAGTTGCTTGTCATCTTTTTATCCTTTTCCGCTGTGAATTTCTATGGGACTTGTCACAATAATATATCATTTCCATAATAGTATTTCAAAACAATTCTAAACAAGTCCACAGTAGCAAACACGTATCAAAGGATCAGTGTTTTAGAAATTTCAAGTGCCCTGCACCATTTGGTCAGGTTGGTGGAGGGAGAGGGGATCTTCCAAGTCCAGCAGTTCAGAACGCTGATTTGAGAGGCTGCAGTGTGGAAGCTCTTCGGGAGGCACCCTCTGTCCTCCTCTCCTCTGGAGACCACATTACATGGAGGTGAAGGTCCTTTCCATCCCCTTCTGGGGAATATCTGTTTTCTTACCCTACTCAAAAAGACAAAATTTGGGAAAAAGACAAAATGTTGGCACTTTGGATATTATGAAGATTTCTTAAGTTGGTACTTTGGAGATTATGAAATATACAAAGAATGTAGATCGTGGGCGACCAAATTGGTGTTCTTTTACTGGAGATGAGACTGAGAAAACACTTTATCCCTCTGTGCTTCTGTTTGCTCTCTGATGAAGAAGCTGAACAATATCACTGCTTATCAAGGGGATTAAGCAGAGAATGTGTATAGAAACCTCCTATAAAAACATATTTTGAAACCATGTTATGTAGATATGTGGTATATCACTTGTGTGTTATATAAAGCTATTGATTTATAACATAGAAAAGGACAGTTATATTAAAAATGAGAATATTTCCTCATGCTCTTCATTTTTCAAATAGGTTTAATTTTATTAGTAGGTAGTCAGAAATCCTAAATTATTATTTTTTTTTTTTGGAAAGACCAAAAGACAAAGAGAAATGTTTGTATGTCAAGTTTCCTGTATTTTTCCTAATTAATGCCTTCTCCTTTGTACTGAGTTTAATGGTTTTCTCTGCACCACACAGATCTCTAAGTCAGTCAGAAAGAAACCCCTCAGTTGTTCTCTTATCTCATTGAAGTGATCAGGAAGTCACCCCATGTGAATTACATGAACTAATGGCTCCATATTCCCTTTTTAGGAATATGGGAAGACATAACCAGTGAAAGAGAAAACATTTACGCTCTACCTGGCTCTGATGTCAACCTGACATGCCAGCTAGAGGAGAAAAGCTTTTTGGTGCAGATGCAATGGTCCAAAGTCACTAACAAGACGAACCTGATTGCCGTTTATCACCCACAACACGGCTTCCACTGTGCCAGTGGGAGTCCCTGCGAGTCCCTGGTGACTTTCCTACAAACTCCTCGGAATGTGACAAAGTGGACTCTGCACTTGAGGAATATCTCTTCATCGCTCAGCGGAAAATACAAGTGTAGCTTCACTCTGTATCCAGATGGCATTCGTACTAGAACCTACAACCTTCTCGTTCAGGCACCCGGTGAGCGCTGCTGCTATAGAGGGAAATGCCTAGCTTCTGCTCTCTTTCATCGAACAAATATGTGTTCTCCACCAACTGTGTGCTCAACATGGTATCATCTTGTATGGGATGTAGAAATTCGTCAAAAGTGTCTAAAATCCCAAGTGTTAATAATAAGAACTACGACAGTTCTGTGAAAGAACATTTAACAGTGGTCAAGGAAAGCGTCCTTAAGAAAGAAACACATGAACTGATGTCTGAAGAATGAATAGATAATTTAGGAAGAGTCAGATCTTGTGACTGACCCAGAGAAGGGAATCAGCTCTGTGAAGAGCCCTGTAGGGTCAAAGGCAATGAGAAAACGCCAGTGGGCTTTCAGTGCAGAGATTAATGGATGAGGCTGGAGATAGAGGGACCTTGTCTGTCATATTCAAGTCTTTGATATTTCTCTAAGAACTATGAAAAGATACTGAAGTATTTCTAACAAATGGAAGATGTGACATTTATAGCATGGCTTTATTTCTTATAAAGCTATGATAATGGCTTCAGGGCGAGAATAGTATAAAAGCAGACAAAAAGAGAATGGGAGCAAGTTAAGAGACCATCCCAGTAGTTCAGAGGAGAAAGAGTGGTATTGAGAAAGAGCACCATAGAAAGAAAATTACATGTTTTATGTATGGGGCAGAAAATATAGGTATAACTTTGTCACAAGGTGAAAATAGGACAAGAGCATGATGAAAGTAAAGGAGAGAAAAATGGAAGGTGGCATCTAGGTTTCTGGCATGTCCACCTACATGGCGATGCCATCACTGGGCTGAAGACAAAGGAAGTGGACTGGTTTGTGAGTTTGTGAAGTCAAGTCTGAATAGTTAGCATAGGGCAGGTAAGAGGAGTAAGGAGGCTACTGGGCATGCAGCTTTTATGTCATGCATGCTACGGGGGCTTGCATTAGGAGGCAAAAATCCTAGATTTAAGTTCCAGCTTTTTTCTCTATAGAAATGATTTCATCTGAGGTGCTTCATGTAAATTATTTGAGCCCCTTTGGAGAACAGTGATAATAATATTTGCCCTAAATTACCTGGCCCTAAAGTAAATGACTTCCATTTCTACTAATGGAAAGAATGAAAAGGAGTCAACAAATGGAAAATGCACTGGAAATGGAACATTTTAAGCTCAGGGACCAAGTGACCTAGTAAAACACACACACACACACACACACACACACACACACACACACACACAGTAAAAATTACCTCATGGAGTCCCTGCTAAAGGAGGCATGGCACTATCTAGGACAAGCAGCAGGTACAGATTTATTATCTCCTCTCTGTCTCTTACCTCTTAGCTGCACCAAGACCAGGATATTGGAAGACTCCCTTGTAGGCTGAGATACCATGAATGCCCTATATTCTTTCTGTTTTCTGGAAAATGAACCCCTTCCCACACAAAAAAAAACTTAAGTTCAACAGAGGATATGGTAGGTGGGGTAGGGTTGAAATAAAGAGAAACAGACGACCTGTGTAGAGCAACATTTAGCAAAACATACTTTAAAGTTAGGAAACCTGGATATGAACATTGACTATCATTTACTATATACATCATCATGGCCAACTTATTACACATCTCTAAGCTTTTATTTCCTTCCATAACAAATGTAGACAAGTATCCTTCCTCTTGCATGGGTACCATCATTTTGATAAATGAGATCATCCATGCAAAGCTCTTAGCATAATCCCTGCCAAAACGTAAGAACTTGGTAAATGGTATCTTTTATTACAGGTAATAATATCAATACTAAGTGAAAGCTGTTCCTCAGTTCTTATTAAAGATGAGTCCACCTCTTGTTTTTATACTGGACTAAGCTGGAACCCAGTAGGAGAGCTACCATACATTAGTGCAAGTACTCTTTCATCTTGACTTCACACACCCAGATTTTATATGTGCGCCTGTGCCATCAGCTATGGTATGGTATGTCTGGGGACTTGATCTTTACTCTGTTGAGAATGTACCACATGGGTGGAGATTCTCTAGAAAATAGGGTGTGTGATAGGGCGAATGAGGACTGCAATGGAAAAGAGATAATACCCAGATATGGCACTGGCATTGTCTTTAAGGAAAGCATACTTCTTAAAATAAAGGCCAACACGAAAGAAAGAGTTAAATTTGTAACTACTAAACACTAGCAATGCTTAGAGGGTCAGAGCCATAGTTTCATCCTTTATGTCTGGAAAATTTAGGATCTTCTTATTGTAACTTTGCTGCTGGTATGATATATCAGATGAAAAACAATGACCTCTGAGTTAGAGAAATTGTCCTGGTATTGTGTATTTGGTACGACAGAATCAAAAGTTAGAGATCAAACCAGAGAGTGATATGGTTTACATTTGGATGTCCCTCTGAAAGCCTCATCTGGTCAGAGGTGGGAGTTTGTGGAAGGTGATTGGATTACAGGGGTTCACAGCTGGCTTGCTGTTGAGAGGTGGGGCCTGGCTGGAAGAAGGGTCACTGGGATAGTGACCTGGAAGGTGTGGCTCCATTCTGGGTCCTCCCTCTGTCTCTGCTTTCTGAGTGCCATGACGTGAGGACCTCTGCCTGCACCATGCTGCTCTGCCATGCTGCCCACCTGGGAGCCAGACAACTATGGATTAAAATCTCTACCAATATGCACTACAGTAAGCTTCTCCTCCTTTAAGTTGTTCAGGAGTGAGCTAAGTAACTAAGACAAAAAGGAAAAAAATTTTCACTATTAAGTGACCCCAAAAAAGCCTAGTCTGGAGCTAAGGAGGAGGAGCTTAACTCACAGGAAGCAGCAACCCCCCAGGAGCTCTCCCAAGTCCTCTGGTGGCTGCACAGCATCTCACTCCTCTATTCTTTAGAACTCCTCTCACTTCCTCTTCATTGCACCACTTCCCTCCTTTGAGATCCCATGCTTCCAAGCTAGTTGGGTAAGCGAGACATACACGAAGTGCAAGCACTTAGGAAGTACACAAACAAATGCACATTGAAGTGAGGTCTAAGAATCTAAATATGAAAATCTTGAAGCACCGGAAGTGGTTGGGTTAGTTACCTCTTCCCGTCTCTTTTCTCTTGTCACCTGAGTCATTCTTCCTTGTCTGGCCACAGAACAGTGGGTGTCAAAAAATCCTGTTTCCATGTTCACTCAGGGTTTGGCTGAGAAGGGATTCCGTTCTCTTTGCACAGTATTTTGTGCGTGTGCGTATCTTAGTGAGCCAAGGCTACAAACAGGAATTGAAATATAAAACAATTTGGTATTTGCTTCTTTTTCATTTTCACTTGGTAAGCTTTCTTCCTACAATAGGAGCTTTTGAATTATTGTAAGAAACATAGCTCTCAGAGCTAAGCCTTGGATTATTCTAATCTACATTTCTTTAATTTGAGCACTACTGGATCCTTGTCATGCTTCCGATTGCAAGATTTTAGATGTACTAACCATAGTTTCATTTAATTCTTTATCAAGTGCCCTCTTTTGATTGAAGATAATAAAGATATTTCATTTTGGTATCAGTTTTTAAAATATAAGGATGTTGAAAAAAAAAAGCCATAATATCTCCCCAGAATTATAAAATTAGTATGTCCTTCATATCATCAAATATCTCATCTGTCTCCCTTTTTTTACATTTTGTTTGTTTACAATCTTATCCAAATACTTTTGATAGATTATGATTATTTGATAAATCCGTATTGGTCTAAAGGCTCTTACATTTCTGTTTTTCTGTACAGTGCCTTTGTTGAATAAATTTGATGACTTATTTTATAGCTCCATCCAGAGCTGGAATTTTGTTGTTATATTTTTATGTATTGCCATGTTCTTTCACTTTATAGAGAGTATTACTATTTGATCACATTGAGGTTTTTGTTTTAACGTTTTGTATTTTGGCAAGAGTACATCAGAGACACATAAGGTCTGGTTATGTGATATTAACAGTCACTAATGATTATTGCCTAGATCTATTAAATCATTATGATTTGACAAATAGTATGTTCTAATACTCTAATTCTATCAATATTAATTTATTAGCCAAAGTATCTATAAAGATAAACTTCCTTTCGTGACCCTTGTTGCTTATTAGATGAACACTTTAAGAAAAGCAGAGTAGACATGGATGCAATCCTGGGTTTGATCCCCAGGACAGGAAAAAAAGGAGAAGGAAAGAAATACAGAATATTTACTTAATTCTTTCTCTGTATTTATCACTTTTTTAAATTATTTGATTCACTAGAATTTTTAGAAGATGTCCTTAAGTGTTTGACGTTAAGTATCTGAATTCATATAAATTTAAACATATTAATGAGTTCACCATAACTATTATCCTTATTATGCTGAGAATGTCCTACCTATAAATGCTACTAACCTTTGTGATATAAGTTGCAAGTATTTTTCCCAGTTTGTCACTTATCCTTACTTTACAATATTGTTTCCAGTGCAGAATAATTCTTGCTCTTATAAAACACAATCACTCTTTCCACTTATAGATCCTGATTTTATTTTTCTGTTTTTCTGTTTTGATCCTGAGTACTGAAGCCAGGGCTTCACGCTTTGATCCTGATTTAAGTCATAGTTTAGAAAACATCTTCCATTTCCAGGTTACATAGAAATTTTCTCTTGTTTTTAACACTTAGAGAGTTTCTCTTTCATTCTTCTAATTTTTCACACATTTTATTAATGCGTATTTGTTATACAGATAAATGGGGTTCATTTTGGCAGAAGTGTACATGCACATAACACATTAGCCTCTACACACTCCATTAACCCGCAAACTCCATCTTCCCGCTCACTAACTTCATGTTTTTAAAAGACGTGAGTTAATGTGCATAATGTGCTTTGATTTTATTATGCCCGCTATGACCCATCCTTGTACCTCCTCCTCCTTCTCCCCTTACTCCTGTCTAGTAATGGTCTTCCCTCTACTTCCTTGTCATCCTTTTTGTATCCCACACATTAGGGAGAGCATGCTGTATTTGTCTCGCTGGGCCTGGTTTATTTTGCTCAGAATGAGAAT